AAGTTCGTTCGAATGTGAAGGTTTTGCTCACAGTTTTCTTTGATTACCATGGCGTTGTGCATCAAGAATTCCTACCACAAGGTCGTACGGTAAACAAGGAGTATTACCTTGAGGTTATGCGGCGTTTGCGTGAATCAATAAGAAAAAAACGTCCGGAAGTGTGGAAAGAAAATTCATGGATTCTGCACCATGATAATGCACCTGCGCACACGTCGTTACTAGTGAGTAGTTTTTTGGCCAAAAACAATATGTACTATCATCATGCCTCAGCCATCGTATTCACCAGACTTGGCCCCCTACGACTTTTTCCTCTTCCCAAAATTGAAAAGGCCCATGAAAGGACGAAGATTTGCGACGATTGAGGAGATTAAGGCTGCATCGCTGGAGGAGCTCAAGGCAATACCCAAAAGTGCATTTCAGAAGTGTTTTGACGACTGGAAAAAGTGCTGGCACAAGTGCATTGTATCAGAAGGGGATTATTTTGAAGGGGATAACATAATTTTGGATGAATAAATGAATATTTTTTTATAAAAATGAAAAGTCACCTTACTTTTTGATCACACCTTGTACATACGATTCACCTTTGCATACTGATTTGTTCGGGTTTGCTTGTTCGGGTAAGTGTGCGATTTTATCGTGATTGCGGCGTTTCTAATTGTTAAAGTCTGTTTTTTCTTACAAGTTCTTTTTCGGTCTTGTCTAGCGATCTGGCTTTGATAATGGACATCTTGATTGCTCAATCGTGTTTTTGAGATCCATCTGAATTTTACACCTTTACGTTTTATACTAATTGCGACATGAATTGTTTTTTACTAATTTTTTACTTATTGTTTATTTTCTCGCGCTTTACATCTGAAGAGGGCTCAATCTCGTAGCCGAAACTTGTTATGTTTTATACATTTTTATACATTTTTATTTATTAATACATTTATATGCGTCGATCCGTATCTGTTCATGTATCTTCGCCTAATATTTTTAACTAATTAAATGTTTTTTAACCTAATGACACTTCTTTCGCCGTTTTATCTGTTTGTTTATTTATGTTTTAATAATTTATAATAAACTGTGTTAGCATAACAACCGCTAGTCTCGGGGAAGGAAAACTAGTTGCAGTAGTGATCCCCGGGGTGGGTGGGTCCCAATCACCACGACACAGCGCGTCCTCGGGTTGCGGATAGAGGAAAAGCCTCGCTATCTCGGTTGAGGATAGAGGTTAGCTGCGAATAAATTGAATAAGCAGTCGCGGACAGCCGATTGGAATGGTCCTCCTGTTTGGGGGTTGGGCGTGGGTTTGATAGGCTCACACCGTGAAACGACTTTATCTAGAAACAACCAAAACTCGCCATGGATTCTTCTGGGGTAAAATTTTCCGGAGGTAAACTAGTCCCCCGTTCGGATCTCCGGGTGGGGACTACCTCGGGGAACTCATGTCGTATAAAGTCAAAACACGGGAGAGACATCAAAGTGGGTACGTGGAACGTCCGAAGTCTTTACAGACCTGGGGCGTTTCAATCGATGGTCGGGGAGGTCGAAAGGTACGGGGTAGAAGTTGTCGCGTTGCAAGAAACAAGATGGGCCGGGGAGGGTTCGCTTAATGCGGGTTCGTACACGCTTCACTATGGAGGGTCGGAGATCCATAGTCTTGGCATCGGTTTTATGATTAATAGGAAAATCTTATCCGCGGTAAAAGACATTAAATTTATAAACGAAAGATTAGGATTGCTCGTTGTGCAGGGCCGATGGTACAAGATCGCGATAATCAACGTACACGCGCCGACGGAAGATAAAGATGGCGAAATTAAAGACGGGTTCTACGAAGAACTCGAACACCTCGTGGATCAATTACCGAACGATTACATGAAAATAGTCGTGGGAGATTTTAACGCGAAAATCGGTAAAGAGGACATTTTTAGACCAACGATCGGGCTCGAAAGTTTGCACGAGGAAAGTAACGATAACGGAGTGAGGGTAATTAACTTTGCGACCGGCAAAAATCTTATCGTCAAAAGCACGTATTTTAAACACAAAAATATCCATAAACAAACTTGGATTTCCCCGGATGGAGGCACGCGTAACCAAATTGATCACGTTCTTGCAGATAAACGGCGTCACACGAACGTACTCGATGTCAGGTCTTATAGGGGGGCGGATTGCGACTCGGATCACCTCTTTGTAATTGCCAAAATCAGGGAACGTCTTTCGCTAAACAAAACTAACGGGCAGTTGTTTGGAACTAAACGTCTAAATGTACAAGGTTTGATCGAGGGAGAAAACGGAATAAAATACGCGGTCGAAGTAACGAATAGACTCGCGGCTTCAAAGGAAATAGATGAATCGGATGATAACACGGTTGATAAACACTGGGAAAACGTACGAGACGCGATAGTAAAATCGGCGGAGGCCACGGTTGGTTTTTGTAAAAGGAACAAAAACAAGCCGTGGTTTGACGAAGAATGCGTAAAAATTGTTAAAGTACGAAACGAAGCGCGCATCACGTGGTTGGCTCAAAATACGAAGGAAACTCGGGATCAGTTTCTTAAGATTAGGCAAGAGGCTCATAATATGTTTAAAATTAAGAAGCGTCAATACTTAAAACGTAAAATTGAAGAAATAGATGAAAATTGTAAAAGCAGTAACGTACGAGGCACGTACATGGGGATAAATAATTTTAGAAAGGGATTCCAAGCTAGGACGGAAATGGTGAAAGATGAGAACGATAATTTAGTTACGGATACAACGGCAGTTTTAAACACATGGAAAAATTATTTTGATCGGTTATTGAATGTCGAATCTGAAAACGACCGGGAAATAGAGAATTTTGAGTATCACACGGCTGAACCTAGGATTAACGAACCGACAATTTCAGAAGTAGAAAGCGCGATTAAAAAATTAAAAAATCACAAAGCACCGGGTAATGACTTGATTCCGGCGGAACTGATTAAATGGGGGGGAAGTAGATTGATAGAAGAAATTCAGAAATTAATTATCTTAATATGGAATAAAGAAGCATTGCCGGAACAATGGAAAGATTCAATTATAATCCCGATTTTCAAAAAGGGGGACAAAATGAGTTGTAATAATTACCGGGGTATCTCACTTTTACCTACATGCTATAAAATTCTGTCGAATATTTTATTAATGAGGCTTGTACCATATGCAGATGAGATAATTGGAGATCATCAATGCGGCTTTAGGAGAAATAGATCGACTGCGGACCAAATCTTTACTATTCGGCAAATCTTGGAGAAAAAATGGGAATTCGACCAATCGGTACATCAACTTTACATTGATTTTAAAAAAGCGTATGATTCGATAAAACGGGAGAAAATGTATGAAATTTTAACTCGGTGGGGGATACCCAAAAAATTGGCTAACTTAGTCCAAGTTTGTTTAAAAGATACCAGAGGTAGAGTAAGAATAGGTAATCAAATGTCGGAAACTTTTAATATTCATAGCGGATTAAAGCAGGGGGATGCATTGTCACCTCTTCTGTTTAATCTAGTATTGGAATATGCTATTAAAGAAATGCAGAAGAGTAATGATGGTTTGCAGTTGAACGGTACAACACAAATATTAACATATGCGGACGATATTGCTTTGTTGGGAGATAATAAAGAAACACTAATAAATAACGCTAAAATTCTATTAGATAAAACGAAAGAACTGGGGCTGCAAATAAACGTTGAAAAAACTAAATATATGGTCACTGATAGAATTCAGAATATTCATAATAACGGAAACCTGGTCGTCTGTGATAAAATTTTTGAACGGGTTAGCAATTTTAAGTATTTAGGATCGATTTTAAACCAAACTAATGAAATAAGAGAAGAGCTCAAGAGAAGAATTAATTTGGGGAATGCGTGCTTCTATTCGGTTAAGAAACTACTCGGTTCGCGGATATTGTCTAGGCGCTTAAAAATTAGAATTTACAGAACGATTATTTTACCGGTAGTCCTTTATGGCAGCGAAGCGTGGTCACTTACATTACAAGACGAGAAAAGATTTAGGGCTTTCGAAAATAAAGTACTTCGAAAAATCATCGGGGCAAAACGCGATGAGGAAACGGGCGAATGGAGAAAATTACACAACGCAGAATTACATCAATTATATAATAGTCCGGATATTATTAATGTCATAAAATCGCGTCGATTAAGATGGGCAGGTCACGCGGCGCGTATGGATGAGAATCGAATTGCATATAAAGTACTAATTGGTAAACCGGATGGGAAAAGACCATTGGGTAGACCAAGACGTAGATGGGAAGATAATATTAGAATGGACCTTAACGAAATGGGGTACGAGGGTCACAAATGGAGGGATCTGGCTCAGGGACGGGAACAGTGGCGGGATTTGGTATTTGCGGCAATGAGCTTTCGAGTTCCTAACGCCTAATAATAATAATAATAATTTATAATAAAAATTTGGTTTTACTTAACTAACATCCTTATGCGAGGCGAAGTAATGATATATTCTAAATTTTAAATTGGTTTTAATTTTATAGAGAAAAAGAAAAAAGGAAAGAAAAAAAGAAAAAGAAAAATATTCATCCTCGTATTCGGGATGTCTTAATACATACTACTCGTATTATTTAATATATAATGCTACTTAATATATAATACTACTTAATTATTAGGCATATATGTTATTGTTTAATTATTATTTTAGAAAAAGGAACCTTCAAAAGAAAAGGGAAAATTGTAGAATAGATATTCTTTAACTATGTGACGCGTGAACTATCTGTTGGTTTGAATATTTAAATAAAAGAACGAAATATGCCCTGCTATAAAAGAAAAAAGAATTTTACAATATAAAAAATATAATAAAGTTTCGAAAGAAAGATAAAGTAGGGACAAAATATCAAAACCAAGACGAAATACTAAACTAGAGATAACATAAAAGTAAGGTATAAATCGTATATTTATAAGGAAAGAGAGAATTTTATCGGGATGTAACACATCAAAAAAATTTTGAGCACATTATTAGTACATTATTAAAAAAATGATTGTCCAGTTGATTAATTTTTAATACTATTAACGCACGTTTAAAATTTCTTATTCATAAGGGTCGGAAACAACAGATTGAATCAAAAGTGAAAAATAAAAGTGAATTTGTCTCTTGGTTTATGCTTCCTTATATTCCTAAAATTTTGGAGGAATTTAGGAGAATTAGCAACATTTTTAACACTAAATTAGCTTTTACTAGTCTAAATAAATTAAACAATTTAATTAAAGTACAAAAACACATCCTCCAAATTAAAAAGAGAAAAAATGTTGTATACAAAATTGCTTGTAAATCCTGTAAGCTTCATATGTTAGACAGACAGGAAGAAAACTTAAAACTAGATTGTCTGAACATCGAAATCATATCGTAATACTAATATCCAATGATCACAGAACACCGATTGAATATCAACACGACTTTGATTGGAGAATATCACAATATTGGATGAAAAGCGGTTTCTTAATAAATGATTAATATCTGAGTGCCTTCATATCCTCATGCAACAAAATAGTCTCAATTTACTCTCAGATTCGGAGGGTTTACATCACACTTATATTATATATATTCAATTATTAAAAGATACCAAATAGTTTTATCTTTTTGACTTATTTAATCTTTTGTTCATATATTGACGTTGTCTTTTCTTCCTTTTATATTTTCTTTGTTGACCAACACGTTTTATTTAATATATTGTATATAATGTAACAGTCTTGTTTTTTTTTAGCTACGATTAACATGCGTCTAACAAAATGTTTATTAGTTTTAAGAAATTTAAATTGTTAAATTATTTTTTTTATCCAATGTTTGGACAAATTTTTTTTCTTGTTCTGGATGAGTTATCGTTTTTTTATAATAATATTTTTTAATTTGGCTTTTGTTTGACTTGATTATGAAAATTATGAAATACATTATTTTTTTATAGACATTTTTTATATACATTAATTTTTTGTAATAGATTGTACAACATCAAATCTGTAAATCTGATGGTGATTTTCCTTAGACACGCAAAAAATTAAATTTTAATTTTTGCAATCGCTGAAGATGGCAAGTATGCTGAAACATACTATATTTTGGAATAAAGACTTAAAATCACATTGTGTGTAATTACCATGCTGATTCTCACTTACCCGGATTTTGAATTCTTTTTAGTTTTAAATTTAGAGGATCCCTAAGAAGATTACATAAGATTACGTAAGAAGAGTATTATTACTATTTGTATATTTTGAGTAGAATCTTTTGTTAATTTCGTGAAAGAATGGCACGCTCTCTCGTGCCTGGCGCTCAATTATTGGTATTAAGAGTCAGGAACCTGTGAAATTTGTAAGGCTATCTAATGTATTGTCGATTCTAATTGTAAGTCTTAAATTATGATTATTGGCGAAAACTGTAAAGAAGAACGATTGCAAACGTTCGACGAAGTTGCACCACGCGTGAGTGCGATCGCATCATATACTGTGAATAAGAGTATATACTTTTCTACTTATAATATATAAATTTAAACTAATAAAACAGTAGTTATCCTACTCATCAACCAATTGAATGTAATTTATTGAAAATCCCAGAATCCAAATCTCATTCAATTGCTTGACGAAGATTATGAATCGTTTTTATCTGTAGAATTCGCTGAATGTTTTAAATAAGTCCAACTTTGGTATCCCTAAAAAGAATGTTCAAAGACTGTCCATATGATACCACTGTATGTATGTCTTTAAAACATCCTAAAGATGTTCGAGAAGATAATATTAAAAAATAATAATAATATTTAAAAAATATAATAATAAAAATATAATAATAAATATAAATATA